ATTTAATTATTTAATATGTATTGAAAATTTTATACTAATTAAAATATATATTTAATTTTGTATATTCCTGTGAGAAAAATATTACATTCGTTTAGTAAAATTTTTGCATTTTTCCATTATTATTATATTATATATTATATATTTTCGACAAATTATGATTATTCTTTTTTCATATAAAAAATATTTAAATGACTAAAAGAAATGATATTTTTAATTAATTTATATGTATATTTTTATTATATAAACACTTTGCAAAACAAAAATTGTAATTCATTAAAAAGACATTGTGAAATTGGAAAGCTGCTTAACTTCGCATTAGTTAAAACTTTTAATAGCTTGTAAACTAATTTCTCATCAATGATCTCGACTAAAATCAATTCCAATCCCTTGCTCCACAGAACCTGGTCTACTCCAAGGAAAAGAAACGCAGAGTGCGCATCATATTATGCGTGGCTGCTGGAGTTATCGCTATAGCCCTGCTGGCTACAATGCTGGTGTTTATCCTGCGCTCGGACGACGAGAACGGCAGCAGCGATAAGCCCAAGGATAATGCCATCAATCTGGAGGATGTGCTCAGCGGTCAATTATATGCGAAACGCTTCAACGGCAGCTGGAGCAATGGCAACAGCGTGATCTACAGAGTCAATGCGGTAGGTGCACGAAACTTGCATTCCCAATAGATCCAGTATACAAAGTGTTAATGCCTTTAGGACATTGTCGAACTGGATACAAAGACGCAAGTGGTTACCACGCTGCTCTCAAATGCGGCGCACTATGTGCTCTTCGAGAAGTCCGCTGATGGCCAGCTGCTGCTGTTGGCCAAGAACTACAAGAAGAACTTCCGCTACAGCTTCTTGGCCGAATACGACATATATAACTTGACCTCGAACACCTTCACGCCGCTGACCATTCGGAACGAGCAGGTGCTCCTCAGCATGGTTCAATGGGCGCCGGTGGGCAACGCGCTGATCATGAACTTCAACCGCAACTTGTATTACAAGAAGAGTGCTCTGGATCCAGAGATAGCCATCACAAGTGACGAGAATGGCATATTCTTGAATGGCATACCCGACTGGGTGTACGAAGAGGAGGTCTTCAGCTCAAATGTGGCCACATGGTTCAACCCCACGGGCACTCAAATCGCCTTCATTCAATTCGACGACTCGCCCACGCACGTCATCAACTTCCCCTACTACGGCGATGCGGGAGATCTGCGCTTCCAGTATCCACTGCACCAGGAGATTCCATATCCCAAAGCGGGCTCCTCAAATCCCCGCGTCGTACTCTTTACGGCCGATCTCGAGCGAGCGCTAGAGGGCAAAGAGTTCCTCACCTCAATGCCTGTGCCTAGTGCACTAAACACTGAAACCGACTACATAGTCACAGTAGTCAGCTGGCTGGACAATGATAATGTCTTGTCAGTCTGGATGAATCGTGTTCAGAACGCTGCCTACGTCATCACCTTCGATGGACGTAGCCGCAAAGTGGTAAGTACTCAAGCGGATTTAGGCCGTATGAACTTAGCTGAGCGATAAATACTCAGAAGATAGTATCAAGTGAAAGGGAATTTCGTTTTTCAAAACATTTCCAATTTCCAACAGCAGAAGGATATTGTACAAAATATGAATTACACTGCGTAAAACACAAGATAAAAGATAACATATGTTAGTTAACATTTCATGTTAGTAAGGTTAATATTCTTTTAATATATGAATTGTATAAAAACAACATGATTTACACTTTGTCCTGCCTGCAGCTTTACAGCATAGAATCTAAGACCGGCTGGGTTGACCTTTATACGGCTCCATTTAAGAACCGGAACGGCTCCAAGCTGGCCTTCGTGCTGCCCCACGACAACTACAAGCACCTGCAGCTGCTTGCCACAGATGTGAGCAATGCCAAGCTGGAGCCACTCACCAGCGGCAAGTTTGTGGTGGACAGCATACTCCACTGGGATGCCACGCATGACGTCATCTTCTATACGGCCAACACTGAGGAGCATCCGGAGCAGCTGCATCTCTATGCGATTCGCGCGCTGGCCACACGCAAGCAGACGCCCAAGTGTCTGACGTGCAAGCTGATGACCTCGGGCGATGTGGAGCAGAGCTACTACTCGGCCGTCTTCAATGACAATAATCAAACTGTGATTTCCTCTCTGGGACCAGGCATACCCACGACAGCCGTTTACGAATGGACCTATGCGAACTGTAAGTAGAGTCTCAGTGCACCCGCGTGGCAAAGGCTTCCATTTCGCTCTGTTTTATCTAATTTTAGCTCAGGTAACTCTGAAGAAGCTAATGGATTGGGAGAATAACGACGTACTGCGCTCCAAGCTGCGGGGCGTGGCTCTGCCCACGCACAGGATACTCACGGTCAACATCGACGGCGGCTTCCAGGCGAAGGTGCTGCTCCAGCTACCTCCCAATTTGGATACCAGCGGCTCAACCAAATATCCAATGCTGGTTGATGTCTACGGCGGACCCGATTCGTATTCCGTAAGCACTGATTGATATGAGTAAAACTTAAAGCTAAAGCTTGACCTTTGCGCAGGTAACTAACAAATGGATGATGGACTGGGGCACTTACCTGTCCTCGAACCAATCTGTTATCTATGCCAAGATCGATGGACGTGGCTCGGGACTGCGCGGCGAGAACCTCTTGCATGCCATCTATCTGCAACTGGGCACAGTTGAAATCAGCGATCAGATCAAGGTTACGCAGTAAGTGTTAAGAATAGAGAGTATAATCATCATCCCTCTCTTTCTCCCTTCTCCCCGCTTTTCTCTTTTCTCTTCAACCTTCCGCTTTCCATCTTCGGTTGATTATTTGATCATCATCTGCATATTCTTCTGCATCTTCATCTTGGCCATATACGTACATATATATTTTTTTCAATACAACATATTAATTTATCTGGCGATTTTTAAGAAAAGTTGGTTATCTACCAATCTTTATCACATCATCCATATATCATTCGTATATATCGTATGTTTCAAATTTCCATTCAGAAACCTGACGAAAATGTTTGACTACATCGATGATGAGCACATCGGCATCTGGGGCTGGAGCTACGGAGGCTACGCCGCGGCCATGGCGCTGGCCAACGATGACAATGGAGTGTTCAAGTGCGCCGCCTCTATAGCGCCAGTCACCGATTGGACCTATTATGGTATTTTAATAATAAAGTTGTCTATTTTACATGAGTTTCTAATATTTTTCGACTTGCAGACTCCATTTATACGGAGCGTTATATGGGACTGCCGGAGACAAATGAGATTGGCTATGCCAACTCGCGACTGAGCACGCGGGCCCAGAAGCTGCGGGGCAAGAAGTACTTGCTCGTCCACGGCACTTCCGATGACAATGTGCACTACCAGCAGGCCATGATCTTGGCCAAGAATCTGGAGCGACATGACATACTCTTTAAGCAAATCGTAAGTAGAAACTATATTAGTATGGGCTATACTAGTGTTATTTACCCAATTTGTTCCCCTTTGTCGTTGCCCCTACAGAGCTACGCCGATGAGGATCACGGACTGGTCAACGTACGTCCACATTTGTATCACTCGCTGGACCGTTTCTTTGGCGAATGCTTCGCCAGCAGCCGGCTGATGAAGAGCGCCAAGTAGAATGATTAACTATATGAATTTTACAATATTTAATGTATTTAAATGAAGAAATTGAAAAGCTTGCAGGCATATTAGAGCAGTGCGAATTAATTGGTACTTAAGAAGATGCATTTCAATTCAACAATTTTATTGATAAATGTAGTTCAAATCAAAACGCTTCAAACTTCCAAAATGAAAACACAAGAAATATATAAGAGAATCAAACGAATGCAGGTCCAAAAGTGTTAATAGATAACTTTGAACAATAATATTTGAAAATGCATTTTATGACATTTTAAGCAGTTGAGCAGGAAACAAAATGAAAAACAAAAGATATTTATAGACAAATCTAGGAAATGTCTAAGCCGTAGTTAGTGCCTGTTATTATAATAGAAATTTCCAAAAATACTAAAAACAAATTTCAAAATGAAATAAAAAGAAAAATAAAGTAATTCCTAGAAGTTTTATAAACAATTGGAACATAGAGATTTTCTTGTGCGATTTAAAAAAGGTTTTGTGAAACTAATAGAAAATGGAAACCCCAATTATGTACATTTTTTCCAACTGTCATACTTAGCTTGTAGTTTGTTATAGTTATGTTAATTTGCCACAATGTAAAGAGAATGTTATGAATTTGTAAATAAGATGGCTTTTGTAATTTAGATGACAAGCGTGTGCCTCGGCCACGCCATAAAGACGCAAACACAAATAAAATTAAATTAATAAATAAATAATATACATATACAAATATATTCAAGCAACAGATTTCATCCATTTCGGTTCGGCCCCCATTAAACAAAGATGTTCTGCTTATTCTCTTTCGCTTTCAGTACACAAACCGCGTCTTTTTATTGCTTTGGCCCCAAGCGTGGGTTACATACACTGTATATATGTATATATCTATATATATATATAATGTATATATCATGGTTGCATATCTTCTGGGCGCCGTCTTCAACAGATTTTGATTTGATTTGAAAAATGTCTTCTTTTTTCTTTCTTTAATTATTAATTATATTTATATTATTAAGTTTACGTATTTTAAGTGGAATTTCTATATATTTTTTTGGAAATCTGTATTTTACAATTGATGTTGATAAATTTATGTATAATTTTCTTTTCATAAATTCACATTTTGAAATATCTGTAAATTGTTTTCGAACTTCAAGCATAATATGTATGGTACAAAAATATTGATTTTTATTTAAATATTTCTTAAATAATTTGTTATTTTATAATATATTTTCCTTATATTTTAATTAACTTTATACATCGACTTTAACTTACATTTGCATAAAAATGTTTTTGTTTTCTTCGAATTATTTATTAACTTGTTAAAAATGTCTCATATATTATATCAATATATATACAATAGAACTTGAGAGCCTTACGAATTCAATAAATATGCTGAGTGTGTAGAACCAGCCCGGCTCACACATATACATGTGTATGTCTGGGATCGTAAAACACATACTTAGGCATATATCCATTGGAAAAGCTCAATGTGATCGAAACTTAGAGGAATCTAACAGCTATTTATTTGTGTGTACTACATGGATAATTGGTAATGGATTGGGGTTTGCTTATGTAACACTGTTGTTCTATTGCAGGTAAACCTCCTGGACTACGTCGTGATGCTGCTGCTGTTGTCCATCGGGATCGTGCAGCTCCTCCTGTAGATCCAGCTGATGGTGTTGGTGCTGCAGGTGATGATGGTGCTGCTGCTGCTGCTGTTGCTGCTGCTGCTGCTGCTGATGGTGATGGTGATCCTGATCTTGATCCTCGATGACAACACCCTCGCTGGCGTCGTACTCGATGAGGTGATCATCCGCCTCTGCTTGCTGATGATGATCGATGATAATGTGCTCCTCCTCGACCAAGTGGTGGTCGTGTTGGTACTCGTGCGGTTGCTGCTGCCAGCGCAGCGGCGGCGGCGATGTTGGTGCCACCAAGTGCTGCACTGGCTCGTGGACGCTTGTCGAGCTGGTTGATCCGCCAGCTGCGGATGTGGTGGTTGTTTGATAGACGGTTTGCTGATTCCTAACAATATGACCGGCGGCTGTGACATTGGTCACGCTGGCGCGCTGATTGGTGCGCGTCAGGGTAACTGTCACCTCAGAGCCAAGACCAGCAAAGGACACAGACGGCGTCGTTGCCTGTGTGCTGCTAGCTGCTGATGTTGATGCTGTCGATGCTGATGCAGCAGCTGCTGCTGCTGCTGCTGTGGCTCTGGCCTGAAGTATTTTGCGTGTGGGCAACTGTGATGCGCTGACTGTGGAGGTTGTGGATGTTCCTGCTGCTGCTGCTGCTGATGCGGATGTCCCCGACTGCGGCACATAGTTAATCAGCAGCACGCGCTCTCCACTGGTTGTCTGCGCCGCATGGCCGCGCAGGACGCGGCGCTGCAGCGATCCACCAGTTGCAGCTGTTGTCGTTACTGCTCCAGTGCTGCTGCTGCTGTTCACTGCTGTTGCTGCGCTGCTGCGTTCGCTGCTGCTGTTGTTGTTGCTGCCGCTGCTGCTGCTGCCACATTTAGTGTTGCTGCTGCCGCTGTGCTGCTGCTGCTGCGCTGGTTGCCCACCGCCCCCGAGTGCTCCACCACCTCCAGGGCCGCTGGTCATATCGTTGGCTCATCATTACGTATTATTACCGCCTTTCAAAATGAAAACCTTCTTTACCAAAATGTTCTTATTGTTGGCCTACCGAGACACATTGATTATTGATGAATGATTCGGTTATTTGTCGGGTTGGTTGGTTTGTTGGTCGATTGATGCATGAGTTGCGATAGTTAAACATTATTTATTAATTAGATTTGGTGAGTTTACAACGAGGCAGCGAAAAGAGAGAAGACAAGATAAAAACGATTTGTTAATGACTTGGTTATGGATTCAACATGAGTTTGTGTTATGAGAGTGCATATAAGGGGCAGCATTATATTATTTTACATCAGATATTATATATAAGTTTCTCACTTCTTTTCATATGATATTTGATTATTAAAGTCCCGTTAGAGTGTCTGTGAGTGTGTTTGATTTATTGATGGAGTAGGTGCAATATGAGAGAGATCTCTTGGTCTGGTTTCAGTGGAAAGCATATTAGAGTCAAATATAGTTCGAATGTGCATATAACATTTAAGAGCGTTTGTTATGGATTAAAGATACAAAAACATATATGTGTGCGATGATCTACAATTGTTAGAAAAACAATAAAGTTAGGAGAGCCAAAGAAAAATGTTAAACTATTTCATAGATTTTAGCTAAAAATAAAAAGTTCCAACACCAATCAATATTCAACGAAAATTCTTGATCAAATTTGTTTTTGTTTTTTTTTTTTTTTTCAACATCTTTTGGTTTATTCATGTATATTCTTTTTAAATAAAATTAAATTTTATTTAAGTTAAGGTTTTTTTTTCTCTTTTTTTCGGAAAATGCCAAATATTTGCTACATGCAAAGTTGAAAAATAATAAAAAAAATATATAGAATCTGTTTCTTTATACAATTTCAAACTAAACCAAAGCGAATATGTGACCTAATCCGAAAAAAGAATAGTAAAAGATGACTTATCGAAAAAATTTGCAACTATTAAAAATAAAATTAATTATGTAAATATAAAGAGCTTTTTGTTTTTGTATATTAAATTTTAGGTGTAGAGTGTACAACTTTTCTTTTTTTTTTTTTTTTTTTTTTTTTTTTTTTTTTTTTTTTTGTATAGTGTAGCACCAAAGAAATTTTGGCCTAAGAGCGGAGAAGCAGAAGAGACTAAAGCTTATATAGATATCTGCAGAATCAAAACAGACTTAAGGCAAAAGTCGCACGCAGTCCAAACGACTGACATTACTTGAATAGAATATAGTAGAAATTTCTCCATCAGACAAAATACAGGTGAGCCCCGCAATTTCATAATTTTAGCTAAACATATTTACGAGAATCTACACACGGCAAAGGAAGTGTAGAGTGTAAAATTTAAAAACGACTACACTGATCAGATATTAAACTTGACTAGGATGCCTAGTCTGTCCAATTAAGACTACATACACACATATAACATAGGTAGGGGTAGGCGAGAAACGTGTCAAACTACAGCACATTACATAGTCCAATAACCATAGCGCGCTCTTATACATAACTAAGTATTGCAGAACATAATTAATCATAATAGCGAAATCAATAATTAAAGTTAACAAAATTTTACAACAAAATTGGATATAATAAAAACTAAAGGCCCTCGAGATATATAGAGCAGGCTACGAACAAGACGATTCTCTTCCAATATTGCGCAATTATGCAATTGCAATTATTTCTTTTAAGTACGTTGTTGCTGGAAGAGCAGTAGATGCTCGAATTGAGTGTATCTATATAGATCTGCAGTTGTAACAGGACTGTAAAGGCACAGTACAAAATATCATTGCACGATTTTCAAATTAGTAAATATTGCTACATTGGAAAATAAATTCCAATTTAGTTAACTCCCAGAAATAGAGTCTGCTTCAGTTAAAATTTACCTAATTTCGATCCAAATTAAAAATAAAATAGATATTGCATTATTTTGAGCCAGCCGTTGAGGGTTCTCCATGAGTTATCGTCTAGCCTGCTCTATATATTCAAGTTTAGTTGGTGAACATTTTACTACACACATTCCGTAGAGAGTTAAGCATAATCAGAGAACCAGGTCTGGGATTGGGTCTACAATAGTGGGTGTATGATTCGGTTCGAATTTTGTCATAGGTGAGTGCTTGCTACTCAAAGCGTCTGTGGTGGTTGTTGTTGCTGCTGCTGCTGCTGTTGTTGCTGCTGCTGCTGTTGCTGTTGTTGTTGTTGTTGCTGTTGAAAATCAGTCATATTCACCTGGTTCAAATTGCCAATGATCTGATGACCCTGCAACGTTTGCACCTGAGCAATCGAGAGCGGTGTACCGCTCTCGCTGCCATCCGACTGGGCCACCAGCTGCGGTTGTTGCTGTTGCTGCTGCTGTTGTTGTTGCTGTTGCTGCTGCTGATTGCTGGCCTGCTGCTGGGCAGCAGCTTGGGCGCTGGTTGTTGGCGTCGTCATATTGCCAGACGAATCGATGATCTGGTGATGCTGCAATGCCTGCTGCTGTTGCACCTGTTGCACCTGCTGCACCTGCTGCTGTTGCACTTGACTGCCAGCCGTGGTGGTTACTGTCATTGTTTGTTGCTGTTGCTGTTGTTGCTGCTGCTGCTGCTGTTGCTGCTGCTGTTGCTGTTGTTGCTGCGCATCGGGATCCTTCTTGACTTGCACGCCCTGCAGCGGATGCAGCGACTGCACCGTCTGCACTTGAGGGACTACTCCACTGCCGCCCGTCTGGGTCTGCCCGGAGCCAGATGTGCTGCTGCCCGGTTTTTTGCCACTGGATGCTGCAAAGTATCGGATAGATGAGTATATATAAGCATTGAGAACAAACAACTAGGGCTAAAGGAATGTCAACGTATACGATAGGGCGACACCATTTGAGACAGAAGTCAAAACAACTGACACAACAACCTGGCTCTAAAAAACAGAGACAGCAGAAAATGCAGAGTTGAGACGTGAGAGAGATAAATATGCATGTGTGTGTGTGTGTTGTGTGTCTGCATGTGTGAGTGAGAGTTACATAGTCTGACTAGATTAGTAGATTTAACCAATTAAAAAAGGAAAATAGATTTTTCAATTGAAAAGAAAAACTAAATAAAAATTGTTAGAAAAACAAAAAGTAAAAAAAATATATATAAAAACTCAAAAGTTAAAAGTATTTTAGAATTTAAAGAAAAACTAAATAAAAGTTGTTAAATAGAACAAAGTAAATCAAATATAACTTCTTGCAAACTCAGGTTATAAGAGTATTTTAGAATTTCGAGTTTTTACAATCAACTAATTTAAAATCAAAGTACAGTATTTTCTTGCAAAACAACAGTAAACTGAACGGAGCACAAAAGCAACAAGAATCAACAAAATTTGGTGGAATCAACAAAAAATATCATAAATAAATATTAACAACGAATTGCCGCAGCAACAAAATTAATTGCAAAAAAATTTGGTTACATAAAAATGATATACGTATATATTTATTAAACAATTTATAATATATGTGATTATATATTATTTTAAGAAAAACTTAAAGTGAATTTCTTTTGTTTTTAAGCCACAATTAAGCTTATAATTACAATTTAATTTGTTAATAGTTTTGCTTGCTTGTTTGTGTTCTTTTTTACATCTTAAAAATATAACGCGACATTATTGATTTATCTTTTCTCTGTTTAAGTAAAATAATTTGAGTATTTACCGTTATATGCAAGAAAATACTGCATAAATGATCAGAATTGATTATTCTTTTGTTATTGAATTGTTGAAAATGTTTAAGCAAAAAATAATGGAAACTTACAACAAAAATTATACAAAATGAAATAAACATTCATTTGCAGACGGATGTTTTTTTTTTTTGTTTTTTTGATTTTGTTATTTACAAACATTGTGTGCGTGTGTGTGTGTGTGTGTGTGTGTGTGTGTGTGTGTGCATGTGTGTGTATGTGTGTGTGGTGTGTGTTGAGGTGGAATGATTAGGCGAGCGACATTGGGCGGCGGCATCGTTATTATTGGGGCTGCTGTTGCTGCTGCTGCGGCATAAACACTTGATCACCCACAATGTGAATAACATTTTGCATGCCTTGCTGTTGCTGCTGCTGCTGCGCAGCGGCGTTGCTGCCACTGCCGCCGCCCTCATGCTTGATGCTGACGCCCATGAGATGCGTTTGACCACCACCCCCACTTAGTGCTGATGTGTTTAAGTGTTGCTGTTGCTGTTGTTGTTGCTGCTGTTGTTGTTGTTGCTGTTGTTGTTGCTGCTGTTGTTGTTGTTGCGGTGTTTGATGGTGTTGCTGTTGCAGTTGCTGCTGCGGCAGCACAGTGCTGGCCATTATCGTATTACTGTTCGCCGTGGGCGTGGCTATGACCCTAGGTAAGTGCGTAACATTGCCACGAACTGGGGTCTCCGCCGCCGTTGGTGTTCCCGTTGTGTCGCTGGTGTCGCCCACGGTTGTGTTATTGAGCTCAGTGCTCGTCTCGAGTGTGTTATCATTACCGGACTTACTTTTCTTCTCCTTCTTGATGCCCGGTTTGGCGAAGTGCCGCAGCTCGAGATGGCGCCGCAGATTGCGCGATTGACGTATGATGGCATAGCAAATGGGGCAAGTAGCGGGTTGTTCCGATTGAGAGCGTGATCGAGGTTCTGAGGAGATAACAAATACAACAAAATTTGATTCACTTCTAGCCTAACGTACTCTCCCATCAATTGGACTCACTTTCTGTCCCGGGCGGATGTTTGGTCCGTTTGGCTTTAGGCGTTGCCGTTGTGCCACCAGTGCCAGTCGTTACAGTTGCTCCAGACGCTGTCGTTATTTCACCAGTTGCCGCATTGGCCGACGTCACGGGTATCATATTGTTGGGGTCCATGGTAACAATAGTCTCAACCTTTTGTCCTTCGCTCTTGATGATCGGTGTGCTGGTCAACAATTGCGTTTCCGCGCCATTTTCATCCAGGACTTGCTGTTGCTGAACTACTTGCTGCTGTCCGGTCAAGTGAGATGTTGTCGGCGTGTCCATGATCGTTCCCATTCCTTCAATTTTGGTTATTTTCGGTGCAGTTGCTGTAGGACAATAAAGAGGCCTTTCAATATTAAAGAGATCTATGGTCAATCTCAATCTTAGATGCTTACGTGACATTTTCTTGACACGCGGCTTACGCTTGCGTGCGGGCAAGAAGCTCTGAATTACGGCCTGGTCGTGCTTGGAAGTATCGGCTGTCACAATCGTCTGCTGGTGTCCGGCGGCATTGGTCTGAGTGGTCGCTTGCAATATCTGGCCTTGGTGGTGAATGTCCTCAACAACCTGTGCGTGCACAGTTTGCTGCGGCGCCGTGGCAATCGTTGCTATCAATTGGTCCTGGTCGTGGTGCTGTGGTATCATATGTTGCAGTTGTATCGAGTGCGTGGTGTAGTCATCCTTGGTCACGGTCTGCGGTGCGAGCCCCTGAATATTGAGGCACTGCGCCGCCTGCAGCAGCGACGGCAGCTGCCCATGGTCGACGCTCACCTCGCCCCGATAGACGAACTCCAGCAAAGCCTCCAAATCGTTGGCGTTGACGCCCGCCAACATCACCACTGGATGTTTGCATGGCGTGTTCTATAGGTAATAAAGATAAAAGTATATTAATGCAACTATATAAAATATTTTATTTAAAATATTTTAAAAAGCAAAAAGTAAATAACATATGTATATATTATATGTAGATATTAAATTATTAATTAAAATAAAACCACAATAATTAAATTTGTAATTTATTATATTAATTAATATGTTAAATAGGGGAAATAATGTATCCTTTATAAATATAAATATGTATTATTAAATTATTCTTTTTCATATTCAAGCGATATTTCAAACGAATATGTAAAAAAAAATATATATATATAAATAAAAATAAAAACGATACATACATATAAATATTGTTAATATTTAATATTTATTATTTTTACTATGGCTGCTGCATATTATCATATCATATCATATTATGATATTATAAAGAAAGAAAATTACTATTTAATATTTTAGTAATTCAATATGCTCGGACTCGCTTGCTCTAGCAAAACAGCTTTGCTTTTGGCGCTCCAAATATATTTGCCGGCTGAGCAACACGCGCGCTCGCTCATAAATGCTGCTGCTGCTGCTTAGTTCAAAACAGAGACAAAAGAATTGGCCGTCAACTGAGACCATCAAAACAAACGGATAAATTGTCGACCAGCTCACACACACGCGTGCAGTCAAACGAAACTCAACAAAAACATGTACACACGCACACGCACACACTATCATTCAGAGTCAGAGGCACACTCTCATCACAATAAACCGGCTTTTCGCTATGCGCGCTCTGCATTTCTGCAGCAGGATTGGAGATGCTGCCAGAGCCCATACACTCTACGCCAAGTAAGAGCACCCCGCTCGCTCGCTCGCTCGCTCGCTCACTCACCAGCTCGTTATTTCGGTCGCTCACACACTCACATGGCGCGGATTTAATTAGCAGGCAGGCAGGCAGACAGGCAGGCAAGCCAGCAGCAAAAAGTCTGCGTCGTTCAGAGGCCCGCTTTAAACGGTGAGCGACAGCTTACCACCGTGACGCTGGCAGCGCTGCCTCTCACCCAATCTCTTTAAATGCCATCCAGCAGTTGCCGCGCTCCGTCGCACTCAAACCCGTAGAAAGGCCGCGTACCACACGCTCTTTGAACTCCACACTCCCTTCAGACAGCCTGCCTACCTACTTCTTTTCTCTGCCTCTTCCTCTGCTTCTGCCTCTGCCTCTGCTGTTGCTGACGTCGCACTCGGCATTGCTCTGACGCTCATCGATTTTTTCAGAGTGGTTGCTTTTCACTGGTTGCACTTTGTGAGGGAGCGGGAGCGACAAAGAGCATTGTCTACGTATTTTGCGTGTGTGTGTGAGTGTAACGAGATCACTAAACGTACGAGTACATCTTACGGGCAGCAGCGACTCTTGCAGAGTTCACATATAAAACCAATTTTTGACATTTCCCGCGACCGACTCTGAGCGACGTTTTTCGAAATTACGCTCTGTTTACATTTTGAACGGGGGAGCGAGCATAAAGCCGATGCTAGGCGTCAGGTGTTCTACACTCTCCTCTCTGTTTTGGTCATTTGACATGTGGACGCAGAAACAATAACAATGCATGAATATCTGATTGGTGCTGATCTCCAGTGCAATTTCTCAAAAGTAAATTTACAAATAATACAGGAGATATCAAATAAGATGATACACATTTAAAAAAATTAATGTTTATGAATTCGAGCAATGTGAAATACAGCAATCAAATAAGTACAGTACAGCACAGAATGAAAAATGTTAAAGTGTAACAACAGAAATAAAACCAAATCAAAAGGCACATGAGTACATAACCACATGTCCGTACATACATACATATGTATGTATTCAAAAAGTATGTGTACATGTGATGATATGCATATGTATAATTCTGATATGAGCTGTATACAGTGTACAGTGAAGCTTGTACATACATGACAAACGCAAGGCGATACGTTAATACGTAATCAATATGCTCACGAGTACGCTTCAACTGAAATACAATGTATGTATATACATATGTATATACAATATACATTCTGCTTGCTAATATGCTATATTTATCATTTTCATTTTATTTATTAACTATTTCTTTTATACTGTATTCTCATAGTCAATATCAACTGTACATTTACACACACACACAAACTTGCTCGCGTAAGCAAAAAGAGGTCGCGCTCGTGTGCACCCAACAACAGCAGCAACGGCAACAGCAACAGCAAACATTGCCAGCAAGAGCAAGAGCCAGTCAGGCTGCCCCGTCATTTGGCGCTCTCGTTTGCGCTCGCTCTAACACACTCGAATTAAAAGTTGGCGCAACTTTTGCTCCCCTCTTCACTCATACATGCGCCTGATCTCGCACTCTCTCGCTCTTCGCCACTCACTTGAAAGCTTATACATTTCTATACCAAGACGAGGCACAGGGGCAAGGGAGACAATATGACAACGTCAGCGTTAGCGCAAAAGAGTGCGCAACTCATTCTACTCAATTGACAATAGAAAACTTACACGGAAATCTCTGGCGAACTAAAATGACGAGAAAGTAGGAGACGCACCGCTGTCTCATGCTGCTCCTGAGCATTGGCCCAGAGCGCCAACTGTGTTTAAGCCAGGAGCAGAGCGCGAATGCACATTTCTTAACTCACACACTTACTCGCGCACTCAAATACTAAAGATATACATACATACATATGTATGTATGCATGTAGCTTACATTCAAATTGTGTTGGGGAGTCAAAATGTTTCACTAATTCACACACACATACACACTCGCACGCACGCACAAACACATAATAACCTATTTGGCAAGTCGGACAACGATTTTGATTTCTCTGTTTACAAACTGTACGCGCAAAAACACATGCCAACGAAACGTCGTTGTGTTGAGGTTATGTTTAGAAAAGCTCTCGCCGCGTACTCACCTTTAGCAGGTCCAACAGAAATGGAGAAGCCGCACAGAGCACGATTTTGTGGGCCGGAAAACTGCGTCCGCCGGCAGCCAGGGTGCAATCGACCAGGTCGCCATGGCAGCGCAACAATTGTATGGCCGATACCAGAGATGTTCCATAATCACCCCAGGTGAGCGAGTACAGCGAATTCATTGGCAACGACATTAGGGCTGTCGTGTCCAAATCCAACAGTTGTTCTCCAGCGTTGTAGTTATATTGATTGCTGTTTGTGGCTAACACGACGAGGCTGTTATTCTTGCAACGTTCTAACAAGAAATTTCATCTAAATGGCAGCGTCAAATAGTTGATGCTGCTGCTCCACTGCTCAACTGCTCCACGTTCACAAGCTTTCACAACGACTGAATGGCGCGCTGCTTCTTATCGTTGCCCCCTACAAAAAAAAAGAGTAAAGAGCATAAGCAGATGGAGACAAACAACTCATGTGCTCTCGCTCTCTCGCGAGAAAAACTTTTTATATACAAATGTTTCAGAGCGTGTGTGTATGTGTGTGTTTTGGTGGGGGAAGGGCCTCAGTGGCGCATGAGCTCCATGCGCACCCCTCGCTCCCTCTCCTAAGATTGCTGAGCACGCGAGAGCGAGACAACCAGAGAGCAAGTTTTACAGCTCGTATATGTATGAAATGTGGGCCGCCTGCCCGCCCCCCACAGACTGATGAACGGACGGACGAACGACTGAACGTATGGAACTGCATGACTTTAGACTTGAAAAAAAAAAAACACACAACTAACACGAACTGGCAACATTTTACATTTGTTAATAGAATAAAACAAGTTGGAAAAAAGCGCGCTATTATCACTTTAGCATTATTCAGACACGCCCAGAAATACATATTCATATTTTGCTTATGTTCTTAGTTTTTTTTTTCTATCTTTTTTATGGTCTTTGTACAGTTAACGCCACGCATTTTGCTTTCGCCTCTGCATTTGTTTTATAACTACAATTTCATTCACTTTTGTGTTGTTATTCTGTTTGTTTACACGCCGTCGCTCCCGGAGCGAGCAATTTTATGCATGTTGAAATTATCTTCTCACCGGAGCGCAAAGAAAAATCTGCTTGCTGCTATTTTATACTCGGTTTGCTTTCCCTTCTTGACCGCCGCTCACGGCTGGTGGCTCTGGCTCTTGATTTTCTTTTTTGCTGCTGCTGCTCGCCAGCGTTGAATAACTCGAACTGAGACTGAGTATTCGATCGAATTACGTTCTGCCAGCGCGGCGCGGTCGTGTTGTATGACGAGTTTTAGTCTCTATACGGAGAAAATTTCTGATCATGCGCGCTGAACCGCTTTTTGGTGGTGGTTTCTCGCATGTTTGTGTTTGTGTAGGCTTATGAGAATGAATGTATCTATGTGTGTGCTCGAGTGCGTGTGTGTGGGTGACACTGTTGCTGCGGTGAGCTCGTGAGAGTGAGAGAGATGGCTGGCAGTGCGCGCTCTTGAAAGTACAGTTGACGAGCAGCGTTACCAGATGTAAATAAATTTAAGTGAAATACCAACGAAAGAGCATTTCAGTTTACTCAAAATAAAACATACGAAAAAATTCAGTTTTCAAAATTGTTCGTTGTAAAAATGTATTTTTTAAATATCTCTATTGAAAAATCATAATTTTTGTATTTTAAATAATGTAGAGGTGATACTAATTCCGCTGTGATCGTTATTTTGATAAGTACTTATGAATGGCTATAAATATTCCATAATCGAAAGATCCTGAGAGATGCCGGTTCGCTCTTACGAAATACAGATACTCTTCGAGCGCCAGTTTCAGGCAATCACCTGTTTCTGTGACACACTCCCAAACACAGCTCGACCCTATTTTTATGCAGATCAAGTCCCGCTTAAGAGCAGAAACGAGCAATGCGTTGTTGCGGACTCGCTGCCAGCGGGGAGAGAGAAAATACCAGGGAGAGTTCTATCCATGGTGCGTCCAATACTCTGAGAAGTAGTAATTTAGTGAGCAGCATGTGAGTAGAGCCGAAAAAAATACGACGCAAGATTAAAAATTTTCTCTGTTTTGATTTTGATGCTGATGCTGCCGCTGCTGCTGCCTCTGCTTCAGCTGGACACGAGAAATGTTAACGCCGCTTTAAAGGTCCAATCAGCATTAAAGCAGTGAGCGTATTTCGAAACTGGTACTGCTGAGCAAGAGTATTCGGATGGGTGAGGGTGGTGAGCGAAAATGGGGAGCAGCAAACAGCAAACAGTAGGCCGCAATGCTAAAAAGCTGCATCGAACTTTTAGTGTGTGTTGTGCTGCAATGAAATCATTTCTGTCCCACTGTGCGAGATACTGACTGCCTGAACGGCGCGGCGACATTACTCGGCCTCGCAGCGCCTTCCTCTCTGCCGCAGCACACCCCGTTGGCAATGTTATCATTTTGTTTATTCTTTTTTCAGTTGTCGAAGTCTACATATTTAAAAAACGAAAAAATGCTGAAATTTGTTTAAAGCGCATAGACAGACAACAGCTATTTGCACGGAATTTTCCACATGCATGATTATGCGTATAAATAATTATTTGAGTATGTACATACATATGTACATACATACAGATGTGCTAAATATTTTGCTTTTTTACACTTTTGAATTTCATATGCATTGATTTCAGCAACAGCAAAAAATTCATTTTACCACCAATATTCACATATGTATGTATGTAATTACTTCTATTCTTATTTAGTAATACAAAATATGCAAGTTTTCCGCAACGGAACAAAGCATCTCCACGTTTTGAATGTCGCCGCAATAATAAACTCATTTTGCCATACAAATTTAACCTGTGACTGCTACAGAGTGACGGCGGCGTCAGCGGCAGCGGCAGCAGATTCCCTCTCCCGCTCTGCTTTGTTATTTTCTGCGGCTGCAACTGCCGAGATACAATGCTGAGAGGTTTGACACAGTTGAGAGGAGAGGCTAGCGTCGGCCGCGCGTACTCCAAGAAATTTTCAAAAGCAGACCAAACACTATCCAAGACTTTTTTTGCTTCATTATTTTGCTTTCCCACAATACTATTCTGCCTGCATATGTGTGCGTGAGTGTGAGTGCGCACTCAGCGACAAACACACACACACACACGTACAGACAGACAGGGCACTCACTGTGGCATTTGGAGAGACGGAAGAGTCAAAATCCACGCAACTCTCTGTTATTGTATTTCATTCCACAATACGAAGGTCTTGTAACATTACAACAACCGTAGGGTCAATTGATAAACAAAAATATGTATATGTTTAAACAAGGATAACTGGCTAGCAAAGTAAATTTAACTAGTAAAAATTTGAGTCGTTAAATTTTTTTACTAATATTTTTAAAAAGTATTGTTTAAATGCTTGTACGAATCGAATTAACATGAGCACTGAAAATTTTAAATATTTCGAAAGTTCCCTTCAAAGTTCCCTATTAGTAGAGCTCTATATAATACTAATACTTAAGGAAATTGAAGTTTTTAGTTGATTTCTCATCAATTTAAATTGAATATACATATATGAGTCATTTCAAAATGTATAATGTGATAGAGAAAACTGATATATAGTGCACAATTTCTTGGGTATTTCTTACTCACCTGTAGATTGCTTAACTATTTGCTGGGATTGCACCAGGCGACTGTTTGGTAAACGACGGTCTTTCCTTCAGCTGCCTCATAGGCAAACACACAGTTCTTATTGGCAATGACTGACAAGCGGACCTTGGAAATCAGCTCCAGGGGACGTATTGCAGGGGATGACTGGATGATGACAATGTGGGAGGCGTGGTAGAGCAGAGGATCTCCGGGATATATTAAGAAGTCGGCGCCAAAGGCATCGCCACAAGTAACGAACTTGCCACGGCTCCAGAGATCCCGAAAAACCCGATATTTAAGCGAGTCGCGGTCGCAAATCGGAGTAGTCCATAGTTGGGCAGCTTTAAGGAGAGGAGATCAATATTTAGTTATAATTAAGGTAGTAGTTTTGCTTTTTCAACCCACTGTGCTTATCCAGATGCGGACAAGGCAGCTCCACGAGCGCATTTTGATGATCGAACTCGAAATTATTTGCGACTTCTTGGATCACGCTCTGGGGCATTAGTGCAGCAGCTGTCAGTGAAGACATTCGTTTATATGGATATCTTATTATTTATTGTGGTGCTTACCCTCATCCGATTTCCCCTGCTTCAACAACTTGTTGCGCTTGCCGCTGAGGATTTTGTCAACATGGCGTTCGGTTTCCCGCAGCTTTTCCGCCTTCAAAGCATCTGCTTGCGCCATTAGGCGTGCCGCGAAATCTTCTTGATATTCCTGCAAGATTTCTGGAGTCGGAGATTTCATTAAGCATGCGGCTTTGCTGACCAGGATGGCCAAGCCTTCATCAATGAGCAGCTGCGTCTCGCACTTAGTTAGCTCTACGGGAAGAGCTGAAAGGTTATGAGCAGACAATAACAATTGATTTCAATTAACCATGTGCTTTTTCAACTACCTGCTTCACTGGAGCTCCAACCTTTGCTGTTGGCCGTTCCCACAAGAGCGCCCACAATGCGGTATTTCATGCGCAGCTCCATGTAATCTAATACAATATAAATTACTACTGATTCGTTTAACGGTCGCTTAACTTACCATCCAAATCGAAAACATAGCCGGTGCCATTTAACAAAGTTAAATACATTTTGTAATATTTTCCCCGTTTCTTTAAGAACAAAAATGACAAACTTAACATAGTATAGAAATGTTATTAACAGCACGAGCTTACCCTTTGGAACTACAAACGATGTCAGCTCAGCGATCAATAAATAAATGCATTTTATTGTGAATTTGTAAAATATTTGATAAAAAAGAAACATAAATATTTCTCGTTGAAAGTAATTTTAGTAAATAAATAAATTATTGCAATATGAATTTGAACTTAACAGCTGTTTACTGGTTTCAAAGAACAATTTCTGTACGCAATGATAACATCGAGTGCCTATCGACAGCCTCAGCGGAACCAGTTCATCTAAGCAACACTGGCCGCTCTGTTCTGTAGCATTTCCCAGCACTGCAAAATTGAATGCCAGTTTTATTGTTGTTATTATCCCAGAAGCGTTTTGTTATTTTAATCAACTAATGCATTACAATAACGCGAGTGTCGCAATTATTACCAAACCACATGTACATAATCAACTGAGCAACTGCAACAAAAATGTAGCCATATGTTAAGCGAGTGTGTGCGAATTTGCAAACCGTATGCCATCAATTCAGCAATACGAAGACGAAGACACCACCCACAAAACTGACAAATTGAACATTTGCGTTTTGTTTCTTCACTCAATGAGTTCCTATTAGCACGGCACAGTTGGCGTGTCGTTAAACACAAATTGCGTAAATTGCGCACTGATTGTGCGTTATTCGTGGGGCCGCAATTAACAAAACATTACGTGCCGTAAGTAACATAGGGCAGGGAGCAGAGTGCAAAGGGCCAAGCAGGGCATGGCTCGAAATGTGTTTGTGTTATCTGTGTGTATATATATATATATATATAAATATATATATATATATATATATATATATA